AATGCGTCATGCTGCTTGCTTACCTCCTTGTCTGCGCCAGGTAATAAAAGCCGACTGAAATATAATTCAAGTCTGTGCACCGGTCATTTATTCGCACAGTGACAAAGAACACTGCAGGGCTCCACTGTTTCGGGGACAATCCCCAAGTGGGACATACTTTTGTGACTGGCATGATTTCAATACTTCCCCAGTGCCGTCCTGTAAATGCTATTACTTTAGAAACAAAATTCATTCTCCTGGAAAGCTTAGTAAAGTTACGAAGGAAGTCTTTCATAAAGCTTTAAAAAAAAAGTTGCAATTTCTTGAAGGTAAGTTTTGAGAGCAAGTAATGTATTATTTCGTTGTTCAAATTATTGCTCAGGGAAAAGCTGTAGAGCAGTGGCTACTAGACATTAACCTGCTAGTCCAAGGGGTTAGGGTTCACATGCGTATTGAGGTATAGCCAACTATTGTCTGGTAGGATCTTGTCTTGTCTTGTCTTGTCTTGTCTTGTCTTGTCTTGTCCAAAATTGCCTCACAGCGTAGTGGGGAGTCGCAGTTTTCTATCCTGGGCCAGGTGTGTTGCACGTGTTGTTGTTAGTCCGTGTTGCCTCAGGATCTCTGATATATTGTCTATCCATCGTACTCTCGGTTTGCCTCTTGCTCTAGGGCAGTAGTGCTGTTCGTTGTATGCTCGTAGAGGCAGTTGGTCGGTTTGCATTCGCATCAAGTGGCCAAACCACTCTATTTGTTGCTTCTTTATGTATTGCAGGCATGGTGTGGTTCCTACCATTGATCTAATGTTCTCGTTTCGAGAACATTATATGTGTTATATGTGGTAAATAGCCTTTGGGTGCAGCCGGGGCCTGATTAAGACTCTTTGATGCCCTTAGCCAGGGCTTTTCAACTAAGTTTACTCAGAGGCCCAAATGTTTCGAATGGGAATCGTCACAGGTCAGATGCCAGCACAGAAAGATCATTAATATGGTAAAACAGGCTTCAGTCACGGGCCCCTTGTTGGGCGCGCGGTGCCATTTTTGGCCCGTGGACAGCGAGTTTAATAGCAATGCCCTAAGAAGATCTTGAAGGGGGGGGGGCTGAGTAGTCTCGGGGCATGGCGTCCGCCTTGAGTACTGGAGATCCCTGGTTCAGGCCCTGGTGAAGGGCTGGGATTTTTTATCACGTGGACTTCTAGTAATTTCCCCTGATCTCTGGGTAGTAAGATCGGACGCCGGTGTGTATTGTTGCGCACGTAAAAAAAAACAAATCCCTTGGCAGTTGGAGATCGAAAAGAGTAGCCTAACGCTAAATTTTGGAGTTAAAAATCTACACAAAGTATTTCAGGATCCTCGCCGGTGCAACGGAGTTCGTGCACTGCACTGAGACTCTTCGTACTCAGGCTTGAGTTAGAATTTGAACGGAACACTTATGGCTTACTATCCTTGTGTCACGATGTTGATCCGTTGTATAAACCAAACCAAACCACCGTTGAAAGATTTTGGTGCCCCCAAAGAGCTGTAGCATTATGGGCCACTGGTGAAACACGTTATGTGCTGGACCCTACAACACCAGTTGGTAGCAACCAAAAATTGTCACTTGACATACACAAATTCGACTGCGGTCCCTTTGATTATGTGATCCTCGGATAAGTGCCCAGCACGCCCACTTTGTTAAGACAACACTGATTTCCCCTTATATTTGTAATCAAATATAAACAAAAATAAACAAACTAAAAAGTGTGTGTATCGAAGTTAAACAAAACTTACAATTAGATAGAAGAAAATGTCTCTTTTGTCTTCTTTGGCCTGTCTAAGAAGAAAATGTCTCTTTTGTCTTCTTTGGCCTGTCTAACTCCCAGTGGAGCACAGACCCTCATCCAACTCACGCCAAGTCGTTCTATCTTTTCAACTTCAATCTCTAGCTGAATTCTCCGTGTTTTGTTTTCGTTTTTGTTTTTGTCTGGTTTTTGTTTGTTTGTGTTGTCTTCCTTTATTTCTATGTCCTTGTCGGTTCCAGTGCAAAGATGTTCAAGTTATATTGTTCTCAGGTTTTCCCAGCCTGTGTCATATCCAACGCCAGCGTCTTTTCTTCACCTCTTGATCCACTGGAACTTCTTTAGTTCTCTTCCAAAGCTCTACCTTAGTGATTCTATTATTCCATTTTATTCCCACTACTCTGCACAGGCATCAGTTAATGAATGTTTGTAGTTTATTATTAAATACTTAAGTTCTTCTAAATGTTTCCGCTGCATCCAACAGTAAGAATTTAAAATTTGAAGTTTAATATTAGTTTTAATTTCAATTGATATCCACAAATTTCCTACTGCTATTAAAGCTCGTCTTTCCTTTTGTATTCGTATTTCAATATCTCTTATCAGTCCCCCCATCTGTATCTACATTACTGCCCAAATAGATGTAAGACTCCCCCTCTCTCCCCCCCCCCCCCCGCCTTTTTTAAAACTTTCACTCCCAAAGTCTTTTGGTCAGCTTCTCGAAGCAAGTCGTATATAACATATTTACTTATACACTTAACAGAAACTATGTATCCAGCTTACCTTGTAACAAGGTTATTCTGACAGGATTTTGTATTTATACTTAAACAAAAAAGTAAATGCTCAGCTTTGATGTTATTATTTGCTTTCCCGCAAAGCCGGACTTTTTTTTCAAAAATGACCTTGACTTTCAGGCCGAAACAGCCTTGAGTGGGTACCGGGTGCAGTCTCAGGAAGTAAAGGCGGCCGGTGTGATGCTGACCACATCAGCCATCTTGTTTCGATTGGGCTATAAAAATACGGGTCTAGCCCTATATGCCCTACACGCCGGAAGGCGTGATAAAGGGGCCGTTACTTTTCTTACTTTTTCTGGTGTTATTGGAGATTTTTTATGGTACCCTCTCCCTTTGTGATGCCCTTAGCACGTGCTTAATGAGCTTAATGTGTCTTCCTGGCCGTGCGTGGGGAAAATGAACAATACAGAGGGAGTCATCAGGAAGATCTGGTAGCTATTCTACACTCAGGAGGAAGACAAACTGTTAGTGGTACAATCGATACTGGAAAGCATTGATTGCTGTTGAAGATAAGGACAGTGCAAGTATGTCAATGTACCTATCACTATTATTTTAGTTAAAAACTCAACTCCACTCAAATAAATCATATAACTGATAAAGAATTAAATATGGAACAACAAAAGAATGACAGAGTAAACATTCAGTGACCCCTCCCCCCGCCCCCACTCCCCCCCCCCCCAAAGTGAACATTCGCCCCCTGTACCCACCCACCTATGGTAAACATCAAATAACAAAGCAAAAAAAGTAAACATAAACGATTAAACGTACCCCAAAAATTATAATAATAACAAAGACGCTCTTTATCTTTCTATTTCATGTCTTATTTGTTATCATAGTTATACACAGCCTTCTGTCATAAAAAAGATTTAAATTTTGAAGTCAGAAAGATAGCCTTCACTATTAATTTAAAAAAAAAAAGTAAAGATCCCTTTTCACGCCCATAGGCGCATCGGGCATATGGGAAGAGCACCCATATTTTTACAGACCAATTCGGCACTCGATGGGTAATGTGGTCAGCATTACGCCGGCCGTCTTTACTTTCCCAGGACAGCCCATCCTGGAACCCATTTTAGGCTGGGTCGACCTGCGACGTCCCATACCACGATAAAAATCCACGCAGCGCACCCAGGTTTCGATCGCGGTACGTTGGATTACGAGTCAGACTCGCAACGCCTTAGCCACGGACGCCGCCGCCTCACTATACCAGGTTTTAACCCTATATATCCGTGTCTCTCTCCTGGCTAGCCGCCTGCCTAGAGTGTCGCACATAGCACGAACTCCGTAGTTGTGGCGATGATCCCCAGGGATCTCCGTAATCATTGAACCCTTGAACTAATGGCGGGTCATTGAAACGAACCCATGACCTTCAGAATACCACGCAAACGGCGTCACAATTGACCCCTTAAAGACCCCATTATCCTTCTTTCATGTGTGCTACTTATCATGTTTGATGCAGTTTTTTTTTTTTTTTTTTCAAGACATAGTGACACGCTGCCTTATGTCGGATCTTTAAGGATCAGATGACCACATTCCAATCTAACTTTCATGTTGCTACAAAATACTCCAGATTTCTGTCTACTGGTTAGTTGCGTATTGCTTACAGGACGTTTGCAGAACCAACCCTAACAGCCCCTGGCTGTTGTGTGGTTTTCCTAGGCAAATTTACGTCCAGTAGTTTGCCATTGCTTTCTGGACAGTCGGCTTTCTTGATACTACTGTCGAAACCAACGCAAGGCGCATGGCCCGCAGCTGGGATTTAACCCGGCATCTCGGTATTACGATTTAGCCACACAGCCCACTCTTTCTACTGACGTACTTAAAAATGTGGGTGGTGCCTAGTTGACCATGTTCTTAGTGCACTTGTATCCATGGCGAGGCGCACACGCCGTCTGGAGGTGACAGGCTCAATTCCTGGCACGGTAACTATAGCTTTCGATTTTTACGTTGTCTAGTGTGTTCTTCTATCTTTCTACTTCTTTCTATGGGTGCCGATCAATATACTTTCTGTTACTTGATTAATTCATAATATTTAACGGCCTCAAAGGTCCCCCCTCAGTTTATTTTTAAAAATGTGGGGTTGGGTGGGGAGGGGGTGGGGGGAGGGGTTGTACTTCCATTACCTCCTGTATCTACAATTGTTGCCGAGTATGCAACCTTACGATACAAAGCCGATTGGCTTATACTGTCGCCCCGGACTTTAATGTGATTTTACTTCTTCCCATAACAACAACAACAACAACTGCCTATCGATTTGAACCCAGCTCTCCCACATAAGAGCGTACTTTAATGACCGTTCGACAAGCTGCTCCTTGGCCCCGGGCTCACCCAAATGTATTATTATTTAACCAGATGAAAATCATTAGTCGAGAACTTCATTCTTTGTTCCCGCTATATATTTCAGGACTGGAACGCCGTGTACTGAGACAAGTAGTTGGTGAAACTATACCGACACCAAAATGTTAACTGGCAAGCCAAAATCAACGTTCACTGTGTTTGCTATGGTGTCAGTAATTATGGTACTGGTTATCTGGTTATGTAACGTAAACTTCGACCGTATGGCACAATCAGGTATGTTGTCTGGTCTTCTCTTCTGGTCTCTGACTGAACAAATTTGTAGTCCAGTCTAATATTTAAGCGTATCGACAATTATTTATGTATTATAAGTAAAGTAAAGTTAAGACCCCTATTCACGCCTTAGGCGCATCGGGCATATGAAAAGAGTACCTATATTTTCAACAGACCAATCGGCACTAGGTGGGTAATGTGGTCAGCATTACGCCGGCTGTCTTTACTTCCCCAGGACAGCCCATCCTGAACCCATTTTAGACTGGGTCGACCTGCGACACTCCATACCATGATAAAAATCCACGCAGCCTTCTGTGAGTTTCGATCGCGGTACGTTGGAATAACTAGTCGGACTCGCAACGCCTAAACCACAAACGCCGCTTGTTACGTATTATTGTCATGTCTTATCTTGTCTGTTTCCATGTCTTATTGTCTCGTCGTAATCCCGTATATCCTATTTTCATATGTTTCTGTGTCAGCTCAGTCACCCGTGCAGTCTGGTCTGGCCTTTTTGTGTTTGCACAGTCGGGTAGGTAGCCATGTCGTGTCGTTTTGTGTCTATCCACGGACTTCTATTAGAGAAGGCAGTGGTCTATCCAATCTGGTGTTTAGTTTTGCCACGACCGGCTCCAGCAGACAGGACGAGCGGATGATGTTACCGGGTCGGCCTAACGATGCGTTAACGCAGCGGTTCTTTAACAAGAAGTAAACTGTTTCCGACAGTGACGAGAAAAGAAAGCTTCAATTGTAAGTATCTACATGCCTCCTTTCATAATTTCACAATTGTTAGCCTACTTTTCTTGATTATTGCCGCAGCACCCCTAGCATACGCTCACGGCACCCCGGGATGCCTTAGCACCCAATACGAAAACGGCTGCGTTAATTCATTGTTAAACCAACCTGGTGACGTCAGCAGCACGGCCCGCCACCTGGAGCCAGTCGTGGTCTTGTCTTGTGTTGTAGTGTCTATCCAATCAGGTAAATATTCTGGTCTTTTTTTTTTTTTTTTTTTAGTGTCTGTCAAAAAAAAAAAAAAAAACACTCCCAACAGCATTGGTCTAGTCTTCCAGTGCATGTCCAATCATATTTATAATCTTGTCATTCTTGTAGTTTCTATCCAATCGTTCAAATAAGCAGGCCGTGATTTCTAATGTCTATTCAATGAGGTAAATAAATCATAGCATGTCTTATAGTCCCTAACCAATCAGGTTCGTTAACCTAGTTTTCTCTTGTAGTGTCTGTCCAATCAAGTATTTAGTTTGGTTTTGTGTGTCTTTTCCTTGCCACAATCAAAACAGAAACTGCCTAGATTATAATTCAGTTTTGCTTACCATAAAACATGTAGAATTTAAATTTGTTCTTTAAGGTCACGGTTTGTTGCTTTGATTATTAAGACCCTTTGCTGTCGTCGAAGATCTTAGCTTTCACTAGTCTCCTTTTCAAATGGAGCGAAGTCTTCAGCCAACTCACGCTAAACTCAATACACTTTGAGGATGTAGCCAATCTCAAACCAAGACTTCTTAACGACTCTTTATGCAATATATACTATATACAGTTCCCTGGCGGAGCCGGACTTTTTTCATAAATGACATTGGCTCTCAGGTCAACCCAGCCCTGAGTGGGTACCGGGTACAGTCCCGGGAAGTAGATGCGGCCTGTGTCATGCTGACCACATCACCCATCTTCAGCCGATTGGTCTATAAAAATAAAGGTCTAGCCCTAAATGCCCTATAAGGTGTGGAAAAGGGTCCTTTACTTTACTTACAGTAGTTTCATTCATTCATTCATTCATGCATTCATTCATTCATTCATTCATTCATTCATTCATTCATTCATTCATTCATTCATTCATTCATTCATTCATTCATTCATTCATTGTTCTGTGGTGCCATTATAAGTCACAGAGGTTCGCAGTATATTTCTTCATTGTGTCCTATCATGTATAATTACTTCAATATCATGAATGGAATCTAGTCGAGCACCTTTGGCTTCTCTCTTTAACGTTCGCTTTAGGTTTTTTCTTGAACGTCCTAGTGTCTTCAATCTCTCTATTTTTAATCTCAGTTCTTGTTATTTATTAAGATAGAATACATCTGTGATAATAAAGTTTTAAGGGAGTCGCCGTGGCGGAGCAGCTTTATGCTCCCCTGCTGATCGGAAGGTGGTGGGTTCGCTTCCTTTTTTCCAAAAAAGACATTGGCTCTCAGGTCGGCCTAGCCTTGAGTGGGTACCGGGTGCAGTCCCGGGAAGTAGAGGTGGCCGGCGTGATGCTGTCCACATCACCCATCTTGTGCCGATTGGTCTATAAAAATATAGGTCTAGCCCTATATGCACTAGATGCCTAAAGGCGTGGAAAAGGGTCCGTTACTTACTCACTTTAAATAGTTATAATCATGAGAAAGTACAACACATCAGACGAAGTAATCGACACACCCACATTAAACGAACTACTATTTGCTGACGACCAGTGCTTGTTCTACCCTGAAGAAGATGGACTGCAAGATCACATTAACAGGTTAAATTCAGCATTAAGTAGATACAACATGAAAATCAATGCAAACTAAACCGAAACAACGCAAGTTAGTAGAACCCTTGACCCACTACACATACAGCTGAATGGTTCCAGTCTGAAAACAAATTATAGGAAATTAAAAATCGTGGAAATAAGTTTACGGATGATGGTAGAACTGAGAGAGAAACGGAAACCAGATATCAGAAAGCAATTGCATTTATGTACCAAGTGTCACCATAATTAAGACACCTAAACATAACTATAAGTGCAAAGAGGCAGATTATAAACAGCATATTCATTCCAACATTAAGCTACCAGTGCCAAACATGGACGCTATCTAAAGACCATATACGCAAAATCAGCGCTTGCGAGATGAGATGCCTGAGAAAAGCCGCTAACCTTACAGTCCGCCTTTAGGCCCATAGGGCATATAGGGCTAAACCTATATTTTATAGACCACTCGACACTTGGTGGGTGATTTGATTAGCATCACGCCAGCCGCATTTACTTCCCAGGACTGGCACCTGGTACCCACTCAAGCTGGGTCGACCTGGGAGCAAAGGTAATTTTTTAAAATAAAAGTACGGCTCCGTTAAGACCTGAACCCAGGACCTTCCGATCCGCAGGCGTGCAGCTAGCCCCTACACCACAGGGACTCGCAGAAAATGTTATAGCCTTGACGAAAGAGAGAGAGAGAGAGAGAGAGAGAGAGAGAGAGAGAGAGAGAGAGAGAGAGAGCCTGTTGGAGGTCAAATAAACGAATGAAGGAGATTCTTCAGAAAAGTAGAAAAGTTTAACGGACACCGAGGGAATAGCTAGCTTCGGATATACCGCGGAAAAGCTTCCGCCGAGTTAGAGTCGCTGCCGAGAGTATCTCCGCGCCGCCCGTAGCGGGGCTAAACACGTCCGGCTGTATATTTATATCTAGAGTTGGCCGTGGGCTAAACTAGATGGCTGGGACTCACGAGCATCAGCTACCGTATCTCATGCAGCTTACTCCATTTTTTTTTTTTTTTTTTTGCTCGTGGGTCCCAACCATCTACTTTAGCCCCGGTATGCTGTGTAGTCACCGGAAGAGGTCCACAATTTACATGTGACTGAGGCCCTGTTAGGGTATATTTTCGGCCTCGATAATTTGCGACCGTTATTCAGACAATAGCCCTAACTTCTTTACGACGATAGTTTACAATTAGCACAAGGCAAGACGGACATACAACCAGACTACGACCTGCACCATTAGTATTGGAACTCCGCGCTGGCTGCTGAGGATGGGGACGGAGCGCGTATGGGAGTGCCCCGAAAGCTGTGATGTCAATTCTTGACTCAACTCAATTCAATTGCACAGTGAAATGGATCGTGCCTAGACTGAACTTGTGATCGTGTAACACTTAACGTATCGAGGTGGGTCTAATGACCGCAGCAACCAAAGAAAGATAACCTGAGATAACTCACCTGCATGACGTAACCCAGTAATGTATGTGTCGTCTTTAGAATAAAGGCCACCTTACCACTAAAGGTTAGTTGCGTATCCTTTGCAGGACGTTGCAGAACCAACCCCAACAGCCCCTGGCTGTTGTGTGGTTTTTTTTTAAGGTAAATTTACGTCCAGCAGTTTGCCATTGCTCTCTGGACGGTTTGGTTTCTTGATACCACTGTCAAAGCCAACGCAAGCCACATGGCCCGCAGCTGGGATCGAATTCCAGAGAAATTTGACTAAAAAGCTCAGCAAAAACCAAAAAGCTCCTCTCCTCGTTGTTACGTTTGTGTAGTTCACTTATGTTTGAAAAAGGCTGCCCGGCCGAAATGTTACGTTGTGTTGTTTTGTTCACGTTTTTCTGCTTCCCCATTTTGTTGGGCTTTTTAGTCAAATTTCTCTCGAATTCCTTGTATAAGCTTGACAGCAGTCACCCCCCATATTTTCACCAGCTGGGATCGAACCCGGCATCCCGGCATTACGAAGCGTTCGCGTCGACTTAGCCACAGAGCCGACTACACTGTATCATTGCGGCTTTAAAAAAAATATTCCCTGGTGAGGGCACATTCCCTTCCACAAGGCGACTCTCGTAAACCTGTCCAACAATCTTGAGAAAACGTGTGTACTTTTTTTTTTTTTTTGTTTGTTGTTAATTTAACTTTCGGCCAAAGACATTAAACTCGAGATTTTGATACAAACACAAAGGATAACCTGATTCGAAGACAGCCTGTCCTGTAACCACAAATATAGCCAATTAGGGCAGAAAGCAGAAATGTTTTCTGACTCTAGCTGAAAGTGGTCACTACAAAAATTCAATTGAATTGATTTTGATACGGTGTAAGTTCATGATAGGGATAATGACAGCGTC